AAAACCAAAAGCTAGTTCTTTGAAATGTCCAGAAAAGAATGACCTTTAATAAATCTGAATATGAAAAAGATAAAGAATGCAAAATACAACATTAACATAGGGAAACATAACTACAAATACAGATGAAATTGTTTTAAAATAATTCCTTGCACAATTTATAATCTACATGAAATGGATCATTTTCTTTAGAAATATAAATCACAAAAAGTGACTTAAGAAGAACACCTGCATATACCTAATTGCTATGAGTTTTTAAAAAAAAGCCAAAGAGCTGTTTTATAAGAAATGCTAAAAGGAGTTATTCGATCTGAAAGAAAAGGATGTTAGCAAACAATAAAAAATCATCTGAAGGTATACAACTCACTGGTAACAGTAAGTACACAAATACAGAGTACTCTATTGCTGTAGTTGCGGTGTATAAATCAGTTATGTCTTGAGTAGGAAGACTAAAAGACAAACCTATCAAAAAAATAACTACGACAACTTTTTGTGAGATAGATAGTATAAAAAGATGTCAATGGAAACAAGAAAAAGTCAAAAATGAAGGTGGATGATGGAATTACAGTGTTGAGTTTCTTTAAAATTTCTCTTTGCTTTTTGCAAACACAGTTGTCATCTATTTAAAATAACTGGTTATAAAATGGTTTTTGCAAGCTTCATGGCAACCTCAAATCAAAAACCTACAAAAGATACACAAAAATGAAATCAAGAAATTAAAATGTACTACCAGAGAAAATCACTTTTACACAAAGGCAGATGGGAAGGAAGGAAGGAAAAGAGGACCACAGAACAACTAGAATCAAATAACAACATGGCAGTAGTAAGTCCTTTCCTGTCAATAATAATGTTGAATGTAAATGGACTAACTCTCCAATCCAAAGTCATAGAGTAGCTGAATGGATAAAAAAAAAAATAAGAGCCAACTATATGGTGTCTACAAGAAACCCACTTCACCTCTAAAGACACACATAGACTGAAAATAAAGGGATGGAAAATGATGTTCCATGCAAATGGAAACCAAAAAAGAACAGGAGTAACTATACTTCTATCAGATAAAATAGATTTCGAGACAC